TTCAATCCAGAGTATTTTTCCTTGTTATTTCTCTACAATTTTCTCAAAATCTGCTTAGGATATTGCTGAAATTCTGAGTTCAACGTCATTTTTATCAGGTTTTATTGATATTTCCTATTAAATTGGTATCAAAGCACTTCGGTCTAGGATACTAATGGTCGGAAGGAAAGTAGAAGTGTTAGAGAGAGAATTAGCCAAATTGAAATCAGATTTTGAGAAAAAAAATCAGATTTTCAAAACCAATTTGCATCCTTTCATGCAAAGATGGATGGAGCATCCGTTCATGCAAAGATGGATGGAAGATTCCGTCGTGGAGGACATGCCGAAGAAGTTGCTTGAAGTCAAACCCAATATGACAACATCTACAACCAAGGAAGCCACCGACGGTCCAAGAAGAGGAAGAAACCCTAATCCGTTTAGGGGAGGGGAGAATCCAGAGGTAAAGATTATGGAGAAAGAGACGAGATGCCTCCGCTTGAGCCTATTTCTAGGGAGGAGATGAGTATTGGGTACGAGCGAAGAGATGATAAGTTTGCAAGAAGAGGGGTGGATTATGAGTGTCAGGGTGTTGATTTTGAAAGAAGGAAAGGGGACTTTGAAGAATAGTTTAGGTATGAGCACAAAAGGGAAGATCTGGACATTTGGGAGCACCTCCCTTTTAGGGAATGGGAGGCTACGGACGATTCAGGGGAAAGTGGAAAACATATGTGATCTGAATGTAAGGAAGCCAAATATGTCCATCTTTGAAGGCGAAGACGCACATGGGTAGATATATAAGGTAGAGAGGTATTTTGTCGTCAACAGGTTGACAGATGAGGAGAAATTGATGGCTGTTGGTATGTTTTTGGAGGGGAAGGCGTTGGTTTGGTACCATTAGAGAGACATGGGGAGGCTCATTCGAAGTTGGAGGGAGTTTAAGGACCGCTTATTAAAACGTTTACAAACCAATAGGAGATGGGACTTCTATGAGCAATTCTTCATACTAATGCAGGAGGGTTCTGTGATGTAGTATCGTGACAGGTTTGGGTACCTAGCTAGCCGGTTTGATCAACTTTCTGAGATTATGTAAGAGTGAAACTTCATGAAGGTACTCAAGCCAGAGATTCGAGCGGCTGCCAGAGTGATGAGGCCATGTGACTTGGGAGAGGCTACAGAGCTTGTGCAGTTGGTAGATGATTAAAACTTTCTGGAGAGGGGGCCAGAGGCAACATTTCAGGGAGATTGTACAAGATAACTACCACTTTTTTAGCTCCCAAGGGACTAGCATCGAAAAGCCTTCGTGAGGTCCCAAAGGAGAAGTCTGAAGGGGGGGATTTGGGGGAAACTTTAAAAAAACATTGAGTTGCAGGAGAATCGAGCGAAGGGATTGTGCTTTAGATGTGATGAGAAGTACTCACTGGGGTACATGTGTAAGGATCGAACTCTTCAGGTTCTCACTGTTTGTGATGACGAGGAAGCTGAGGAGGGAGGTGAGAGTGAGGCAGTGGTAGAGGATGAGAAGCTGCATCTTGACATGGTTGAAGCCTCTTTGAACTCAGTAGTGGGGTTCACCCCGAATCACACCATGAAAGTGAAAGGAGAAATATAAGATAGAGAGGTGGTTGTGCTGATCGACAGTGGGGCTACCCAGAATTTTATCTCCAATCAGGTCGTTAACCTGTTGGTGGATATCGGGGGCTATGGGGTGATGATGGGCAATGAGAAAGTGGAGATGGGTAGAGGAGTGTGTCAGGGAGTTGTGCTGATTATACATGTGGTTCATATGAGGGAGGATTTTCTCCCATTAGAGTTGGGGAGCACTGATGTCATTCTAGGGATAAAGTGGTTACAGGTCTTGGGAAATACTAAGGTCAATTTGGGAGCACTCACCATGGCTAGTGGTGGAGGGAGGAAGGATAGTGATCTGAGGAGATGCAAGGTTGTCCAGGGACATGGTGTCTCTCAAAATCATGGTCAGGACCATACAGGAGGTGGGAGGAGGATTTCTGATAGAACTGCAGAGCTTAGAAGGAATCAAACTAGAGGAGGGAAGGGGATTCCTCTCTCAGTACAATCACTCATGCAACAGTTCAGTGAGATTTTTCAGCCACCTCAAGACTTACCACCACCAAAAGAGCAGGAGCACTTCATCATCTTGAAGGAAGGGGTGTCACCGATTAAAGTGAGGCCTTACTGTTACCCTTAGATTCAAAAGGATGAGATCGAGAAGCTGATCTGAGAGATGTTGAAGGCAGGGATCATCAGGCCAAGTGTGAGCTCTTTTTCTAGTCTAGTCCTACTAGTCAAGAAGAAGGATGAGAGATGGAGATTTTGTGTGGACTACCAGACCTTGAATAAGATCGTGTTGGACAAGTTTCCCATTCCGGTGATTGATGAGATATGTGGTGCCGTGGTGTTCACCAAGATGGATCTGAAGTTGGAATATCATCAGATCAGGATGAGGAAGTAAGATGTTCCGTAGACTGCTTTCAGGACACATGATGGGCTTTACGAGTTCTTAGTGATGCCATTTGGGCTTACCAATGCCTCTGTTACTTTCCAGTCGCTTATGAAGAGAGTATTCAAACTGTATCTCAGGAAGTTCGTACTAGTATTTTTTGATGACATATTGGTGTATAATAGATCTATAGGAGAGCACTTGGAGCATGTAAAAATGGAGTTCGTACTAGTCTTTTTTTATGACATATTGGTCTTGAAAGTACTACAGGAGCATCAGCTAAGGGCCAACCCGAAGAAATGTGGCTTTGTACAAATCAGTGTGGAATACTTGGGGAACGTGGTCTCTTAGGAGGGGGTGACTGCCGATCAGGCCAAGATTGAGGTAATGTAAAAATGGCCTTTAGGAATCTGAGAGAGCTGAGAGGGTTCCTAGGTTTGACCGAGTACTACAGGAGATTTGTGAGAGGCTGCAACACCATAGCTTGGCCATTAAAGGAGCATCTGAAGAAAAATATAGTTTATTATGGAGAGAGGCAACTACACGGGCCTTTGAGAGGCTGAAAAAGGCCATGACCAACGTACCGACTTTGGCACTACCAGACTTCAGTCTGATCTTTGTGGTTGAGACAAATGCATCAGGATATGGGTTGGAGGTCGTGCTTACGCGGACTCATAGACCCATAGCCTACTTCAGCCAAGTGTTGACAGTCAGAGCTAGGTTGAAGTCAACCAATGAGAGGGAATTGCGATCATAGTCTTAGCCTTTCATAAGTTGCGATCATACGTGTTGGGTTTGTCAGAGCTGCTAGAGAAGATTGAAATACTTGTTATAGCAAAGGATAACAACTGAGGATCATCAGTGGTGGCTATCTAAGCTGTTAGGATATGAATTTGAGATCCAGTATAAGCTAGGATTGAAGAATAAGATGGCTGACGCCTTATCGAGATGTGTGGGGGAGCTTCAGGAGATAGCCATTTCAGTACCCTTGATGGTAGATTGGAGGGCTCTAGCCATCGGCTAGGGATTGGGGGAGCCGGATCTTCCTCTCGAATTAAAGATCCATTGTATTGTGTTGTTTCTTTTATCTACTATTCAATCAAGAGTGTTTTTCCTTATTATTTCTCTATAGTTTTCCCAAAATCTATTTGGGATATTGTTGAATTTCTGAGTTCAACATCGTTTTTATTGGGTTTTTATTGATATTTCTTGTGGAAGGGTTGATTTGAATTCATATTTGGGAGAGAATTAGGAAATGTTTATTTAGGGAAAGAGGATTGATTTGAATTTAGATTTGAGAGGGAAGCATGAATGTTTATATTAGGGTTAATTTGGTTGTTTTATTTTCATGATGCAATTTGTGTGTTTGTTGTAGTTTTTCTTTGGAATTGTTCCAAGTAACGTCTAGGGTTTGTGGAGAGCCGATCTACCTCTAGAATAGTAGATCAACTTGTATCTTTGTTTGTTGTGCCTATATCAATAAAATTAGCCCATAATCTCTTTCTTTCTTGTTGATTTCTATGTGTTTTGATGTGGGGAGAATCACCAAAGAAGCATGATGGAGAAAAAGAAGAAGAGCTAAACAGCTCTTGAAGATCAAAAACAGTGAAAACTGTTTCAAATTCCAAAAATATTCATTCATTCTCTTCTTCTACCTATAAGAGCTATTTATAACAATATAATAGAAATGCCTAGAACTCTCTAGAAAAAAGTACTAAATTAGATAAGCTATTCCTAAACCTTGATTTAACTAATATGCTCCGCATCATGTTTTCTCTTTATTATTGTTGTTTTTGCTGTGTGGGAATTGGATTCCTATCATACAAATATTTCAAAAAGTCTTTCGTGTTTGCTTTGGACATTTCACACTTTCAACCTTTGCAGATTTTTTGCAACGTACTAAAAAGTGTGTTTGATGTGTTTTATTTCAAAATTAGAGTTGGTCTTGACCAAGGCGTGCCTCAACATGGTTGGACTAGATGCACAAGCTATTTCTTGTTAAATAAAATTTTAGGTATAGAGTGAGGTCGTGTCATCCAAACTTCAAAGTAAAAGCAAAATAACTTACAATGGATTTTATTAAGCCTTTGACAAGTTGAGTTGTAAGTCATAATGCTCTTATCAAAGTTTTAAATGATAATTTAAAAGTAGTTTTTTTTTTCTTTTTTCTTTTTGCGGGGGTACTTCGTAATTAATTTGGGCCTTTCAATGAATGTAAGCAACATATCAAATTTAACTTCGACCAGCTCCCATGCTAAGAAGCCCACGAATCAAAAAACACATTCTACAATCGAATCTTGTGCTTTAGATATGCTTCTTTGAGTCAAGCTGAAACTCATGAAGAATTGATAGTGTCATGGCTTGCACTTACACGAATATCGTTAAACAAACTTAATCTACCTCAAAAAAAAAAACTATCTCTAGTCCTTTCACCCATTGAGGATGCTTGCAGAAGGGGTGCTTTGATCCTTTGTTAGCGTTTATTAAGTAATTACTTTTTAATATCCTTTGTTAGCTGTGCATAGATCTTGCTAAGCTAATTTTATCCTGGGTAACCCAGCAGATCTTAAATCATCTGGATGACCGCTGTAGAGTTCACAATGAAGGGATTACTTTCTGCCAGGATGTGCTAAGACGTAAAAATCTTGATTTTGAACCTCTATTCAGGAACAATATCTCCCAACCAATTCATGGCGTGGATCTTGTGGTCACAGTCGGAGGAGATGGAACTCTTTTGCAAGCTAGCCACTTACTTGATAATTCCATTCCAATTCTTGGAGTCAATTCAGACCCTACGCAACCTCAAGAAGTTAGTATTTCACTCTGGTTATTATCCTAATTATCTTCTTTTGTTGCCAGCCTGAACTTTTCCATCAAAATACTTTTTCTTTTTTGATGTTTATTTCCATAGCCGATTGTCTAACCATCTGAATGCAGGTCGACGAGGTATGCGATGAATTTGATGCAACAAGAAGCACTGGTTACCTCTGTGCTGCCACCGTGGCAAATTTTGAGCAGGTAATTAAACATTTAAACCCAGGGGCGGAATCATTCATAATTTTCAGGGGGCAAACTTATAAGTAACTGTTGGTAGATATATTGGGGGTCCAAGGAGGCAGTGCCCCTGACGGAACAAATTTTGATTTACTATTTCTCTTTGTATTTGGTTCATTATTCCCTAACAATAACACCTCAACACAAAATATTTAATTATAATGGAGGCAATTGTCTAAAGACCATAGTATTTTAAAACTTTTAGGGGTTGTAATTGCCTAAAAGCACTTTTAATAAAGATTAAAAAATAGATCGAGGGCGACAAATTACCTTAATAATCGTATAATGAAAAAAAAAGTCTTATTTTAAAGGGGTTCCGCCCCTGATTAAACCTACTGTCAATTCTTTTATTTTATTTTTAAATAGTCTTATTTCACATTTCTTCCAGATTTTAGAAGAAGTTCTTGAAGGAAAGAATAAACCCTGGGAGCTAGCAAGGATCTCAGCAAAGCTAAATGATAAGCCATTGCCAGCATTTGCTCTAAATGATGTCTTGATCTCCCATCCCTGCCCGGCGACCGTGTCGCGATTCTCCTTTCGGTACTCCATACTGAAATTTTCTAAAAGATTCTTCCTTCAAATAGCTTAAAATCTCATCTTTTCTGATAGAACCCATTGATTTGTAATTCCAGAGTCAAACATGATGATCAGAAGTGGTCTTCTTTGGTCAATTGTCGATCGAGCGGGCTTCGCATATGCACTGCTGCTGGATCAACTGCAGCCATGCTATCAGCTGGAGGATTTACTATGCCAATCTCCAGTAGTGACCTCCAATTCATGGTAAGAGAACCCATTTCACCTAAAGCTGTAGATTTTCCTTTACTGCATGGTTTGCTTAAGTCTAATCAATCTATGCATATCTCATGGTATGGTAAAGAAGGAACTATATACATTGATGGTTCACATCTATTCTTTCCAATTAGGCATGGGGATATTGTTGAGATATCAGCAAATGCCCCTCATTTGAAGGTTCATTTGCCTCACTCTCTTATAAGATGATATTAAAATGATTTCTCTCTCTGTCCCCTATACCTCTTTGTCCAGCGATGTGTTTTCGCGCCGAAGGGGTCCTCATTACTTATAGTGTAATATTCTAGGAATCAACAATAAGGCCTTAGGGCATCTCCAATCGAAAATCTCATTTTTCACTCCAAAATACAGTGAAACTCAAAAATGCCGTGATTTACCTCCAATCGAACTCCATTTTGTGTGATTCTATGAAGGTAACCATCTTTCTCCTCTTTTACGTGTTTCTACTGTCAAATTCGGTTTAGATAGAAAAATCGCCTAGGTGAATAGTGCAACGCCAATAGCATCGCACTGTTCACCCATAAGCAAATAGTGGACGATTTGGCGTTCGGCTAGAAGCATATTTGACGTTCAGTTGGAGATGCCCTTAGAGTTGATCCTTCTACTATACGGGTTTTTTCTCTCCCTTGAATTGCTAGGGAAGTTAACAATTGATTTGAAGCTTGGAAAGAAGCAAAAAACTGTAAGACCTTCATGTGATTATTTTTAATTTTCATTTTATTTTTTTCATGTTAGTTTAGTTTGTTTTTTAATTGGTTTTTATATATATTTGTAATCAACATCATAATAATTGCGTATGAGTCAAAATTCATCAAATTTATTACTATCTAATGATTCATAACATATTTGAAAATTATGAGTATGATTAGCATGCAGTAGCCCTATTTAAAAAGACCATCTTTATTTATATATTTCTTCAATCAAAATCATCTTTGACGATTCCATCTACAACTAAAGTATTTGACTCCAAATCATTTGTGTATCTCTATGGTTTCAAATCACAATCATCTTTTAATGAAATTGAAGTCGACCGTTACAAAACATAGATCCTCTTGTTATATATGCAACATACACAATAAAACTATGGAAGTACTTACATGTCATTAAAACTACTGAAGGGACTATTACATTTGAGTGATTAAAGCCAAAACCCAAGACGATGGAACTATGAGATCTTGATTGGGTCTGTCATCACTCCCCTCTCCCCCCACCATTCGCTTTAAGTATAAGGTGGTAAATTTTTAATTTTAAATATTTATTTTTCAAATACCAAATCATGTTGCTACTGTACATTGGATACTACGTATCTGTTTGGGGACTAGTCTTAATCGAAGGTTCACTCTCGTCACTGAGAGGGGTAAATAACCATAGGGGCTTGCGCCTATATGAAACATGAACTCCGATCATAAAGTCATCTCAAAATGAGAGCGAAATCTCTTGGTAATGTCATATTCAAAACTCAATATGCCTTTTGAAAATTTACCTCGGAACTTGTTAAAACTCTCCTCGACAACCCAAAGAAAATAAAGGGGCTGCGAAGAGGTCGGGGCACGAATTTTTGAAGACCACGGGAGTGCTTCATCAGATAACCAATATTGATCCCCTTAGTTATGGAGCGTTCATTTTGCATTTATGCGCCTCAATGATGCCAGGATTAATTAAGTGATATTAGGCTCGTTGGATTTGTCTCATCGAGCCACTCGATTCGACTATAAGCATGTCATATTTGGATATCATTTGGTCATCCAATTAATACATTTGGATTGGATTGGGCCGATTTTAGTTTCTTTGGTGTTTGCCTTGCTAAGACGTTCAATTTGAGCATAAGTTTGTCAAGATTGGAGTTTGGATGAATCTATATTTAATTATATAAGTTGCATAACTTGGATATGCCTTAAGATTCATGCTTGATCAAGACAATTTTTGACGATGTATCAGTATTAGATGAGTTGCTTAGTGAGCCAATTCAAATTCATAGAATTGAGCTTGAGCTCAAACTCGAACTCAAGTTAGGGGGTCATCAAGAGCTTGTTCCTAAAACTCGACTCAAATGCCTTGCACCTCTAATCTCAATGCCCATATATTCTCCACTTGTGCATTTGGAGATGAAAAAACACTTAATGTAACATACTAAGGTTTCTTTTGAAATAATTTTCTTATTGCTTACTAAAAAGTTTTTTAATACAATTTTTTTTTTCAACTATAAATTTTTCTGTTAGAAAATTACTTTAAAAAATAAAAATAAAATTATCACATACGAAGCCCAAAACTATATTACAAAAATTAAACATGTAAACCAGTAAATTATCAACAAGTGTTTTAAACGTTGAGCTTCCATTTACCCATCAACTTAGCTATTTTTTTATCCTTCGCATGAATTTGAATAGAATGATCATACTGAAAATATTTGTGGTAATTAAAAAAATCAAGCGATAATGCTTAAAATGTGACTTTGAATTAAAAATTAATTTTTTAAACTGTGAGCAAATAAAATTGTGAACTTTCATAAATTATTAATGTTTCATTTCGAACAGTTTTCTTACTGTTTTATAAAGCAATTTTTTAATATAAAAATTTTTATAATACAAAATTTTTTGAATAATAAATTTTTGTACTAAAACTTTATTTTTGAAAGTAGAAAGAAATCTATACCAAGCAAAATTTTAATGAATTATATTTATGTATTTTTTAATAAATCAAATTATTTTTGAGGGAACAAATAAATATAGTCAAAATATATTTTCAAAAAAAATTCATACAAATACAAACAACTTACTCAAAACTCAAATATACCCCTTCACTATGTACAAAAATACAAAATGGCCATTAGCAACTAAACAATTAATCTTGATCTGTCGGTTGGGAGTTTAGGCTATCAAGTGAGAGGTTTTGGGTTTGAGTAACAAGACAGGAATTTTGACACTGTACAACAATTTGTACAAGGGATGTAGGGCAGCTTATTGTATATGTGATGTGTGTGTGAGTCTGCCTTGATTGGCCTAAATGTCCATGACGTCATTGAATTTCAAAAATTTTGTTCAATGGAGTTGGTTGAGCTTAGAGTTTCATTTGAGACGATTTTTTTGCTCTTTTTAAAGCACTTTTCATAATATTCTGACGTAAATTAACAATGATATTTGCATTAGAAAGAAAGAAAAAAAAAAAAAAAAAAAAAAAAAAAACTCCTAACAATTTCTTGTGAAGTCATTGTTTCATGACTTATTGAGATAAATAATTTATCCAAAGTTTTGTACCTATATGAAAAAATTTTTCAATGCAAAAATGGTGATGAATTATTTATTATTTATTTAGTTAAGCCACCACCCTACCCTCCAATATATTAATCTATTTATATCTATAAAATTGCATATTAATGCCTACCTTTTCTAATAATAATAATAATAATATGCGTGGAGCAAAGAACATCATGAATGGATTGTCGACGTGTTGTTTTTTGAGCCGCATACGTGGCAGCCAACTGGACGTGCTGACGTGGCAGAATCTGCTCAGCTGTCAGCTCAAATGTAAGCAAATTTTTTAATAAAAAATTTAATTTTTATATTAAAATTTTATTTTAAGAAACTCTTTTAAAGTCATCCCAAAGAAATCTAAATTTAACAAATTATCTCATTTGCCATAGCAAAACTATGAAGATAAATTTTAATAAAATAATACTAAATTAATTTATCTTTTATTTTTAAAAAATCTTAATGAACTGATACATTGAATGTGAATAATTTAGTTGATAAAGATTTAAGTTGATTTGAGAGGCTCAATTGTGTATATTGTGAGAAAAAGTGAGATTCTCACATATATTAATTTTTTTTTCTCTCTTTTTTAAGTAATAAAGAAAAGACAAGATTTAAATTTTTAATAGAATATTTTTATAATATTTAAAAGCTGAAAAAGTAAAAAATAAAAAAATAAACACTTGGAAGAATGTAACTACAATTAAAAAAAAAAACTAAAAAAAGTATTGGATCTTTTTTTAATGATAATTGAAGTTAGGTCTATTGAAACAAAATATTGACGATTTGATTGGTCATAATTCTTAAAGTCTTTAAACATAATAGAAAACTCAACGCACTAATTGAAGACTGAATGATTTCTAAATCAAACACATTTAAAATTATACTGAATGTCTTGATAAGACATATCTAATAAGTCTAAAATCATTTAATTCTGACATCATTAAGAAATGTTAATGATGACATAATTAATTATATCATGTGATGAAGCGTTATGAAATTTTGGTTATATTTATAAAACATGACGTTGTAAAAAAAAATTAAATCTTTTTGAACACTTCATGATGAGAATGTCCAGTGGACTGTGTTGATGACGACTCTTGCTCTTGATTCTGATTTCCAACTTGTTTTATCTGATTTAATGCCAGAGAGTTTGCGTTGGCATATAAATTAGTCGTAGTAGGGTACAACACAATATGAGGTCCACCTGAATTCCACCATGGAAAGCTATTACTAAGATAGTTGCATGTTGATTGAACTAAATTTTGTTGTGAAGCCTTATTGTTCATGTTTTGCATTTCAGTGCCTTTCCGATTCTCACAGGACATTTCCTACAGCAAGCAGACCTTTACAAAGCAAATAGGCGGCTATCTTCAACTGACTGCCATGTGGCCAAAAAAACCAAACGGAAACCATCAGAATATTTGAATTAATAAGACAATGATTTTTAATAATTAATAAAGTTTTAAACAATATTAAGAAAAAAGCAACAGTCAAGATTGAAAGTTCTCCATTTTCATAAATGGTTTTTAGCTAGTTAAGGCAATTTAAAGTGCCAGTAAGGACGAAAAGTAACACCATGGCATAAAAATTTTCATGCATGACATCCTTTCATGGTGAGTAGCATCCGCTACTTTTTTGAAAAAAAAAAATTTGTAGAATTTAAAATATTCGTTGCACTTAAAAATCGTTATCAGAATTTTTATTGTTGCATGCCAAAGACAATTTTTAAGTATAGGTAAATTTTGGATTGAAAGTTGGATTGAAAGGTCATCTATGTTGACCAAAACATAAGTGACACATTTTATATCAAAATTTTTATTGTGGCATGCCAAAGACAATTTTTAAGTATAGGTAAATTTTGGATTGAAAGGTGGTCTTTGTTGACCTAAATATAAGTGCCACAAATTTGGCATCAGAGAAAGCAAGTGATTGCCACGATCTCAAAATGGCCCATAATTGCACACTGATGCATTGACACTCATGTCAAAGCCCTCCATCTAGAAATGGCCCAAAATTGTGTACTAATGCTTCGACGCCAGCATCAAAGTCCTCCATTTCTCTCTTGGTTTGGAGAGAGAATGAAAAAAGGTCGCGCATAGGAGAGAAAATTTACATCAAATTTGCATGCACATGCACAAACACGACTAACCATTCTAAAAATAAATCCATGTTTGGCATACATTTGTCCCTAAATATATGTTCAGTTATAAGTAAATGTTAACATATATGTCAGGGGTCCAAGGGAGCGGCGCCCCCGAAACAAATTTTGATTAACTATTTCTCTTTTTATTTGGTTCATCATTCCCTAACAATAACACATCTGCACAATATATTTAATTATATTGGGGGCAATTACATAAAGGCCATAGTATTTTAATATTGTTAGGGGAGGGCAATTGTCTATAAATCCTTATAATAAATACTAAAAAATAGATTGAAGTGGGACAAATTACCTAAATAATAGTATAATGAACACTTAAAAAAAAAATCAGGGTGGCCATTCCCCCCTAGCCTCCAAAGGGTTCCGCCCTTAGGAAGAGAGATTATTACGTACAGAGTCCAAACGTAATTTTTCGTCTTGAGTACAATAAGCTGAAGCCAGGTAAGTTTTTTTTTTTTTAATTCTCTCTCTTTTACATGAGAGGAAAATAAAACTACGTTGCTCCACCTGATTGGAGTCATGATGAAATCCGGACTCCGCGCGTAATAATTTTTCCTTGGCAGGTTTTATTTGATATCATTTTATTTTTTCTTTAAGTTTTTTTTCTTAATATTAAAAAAATTGATATTTTATATTAAAAAATTAAAATAGGTAGTCATATGAGATTATTAAAAAAATAATTCAAAATTTTTTCTCTCACTCACTATTTTAGTGAAGCACATCAAGTTTTTTAGGCGAATTAAATAATCACTTTGATCATAAATGTTAAGTTTGGCAATTATTAAATTCATTTGAATAATTTAAAAAAATAAAAAATTTTATTTTTGGCTGCTTAAAAATGTATATCTTTGCATCACATTGTGATGATTGGATGGAATATGATATGATTCCCTCATCATTAAATCAATAAGAATTTAATTTTCTTTGATAAAAATTTCAAAATTAAAATAAAAATAAATTAATAAATTTAATTCTTAACAAAAATGAATCTAATTTTTCTCAACACAAGTAAATAATGAAAAATAAATAAATATTATTAATAAATAACAAAGTTCTGAATAGTCACTTAAAATATCTGCAATTATATAATTTTAAAAAATCGATAATGAAAATACCTTTTAATATCCTCAATAAATCGAAAATTTTTCTGATTATTTCCTATTAAAAAAAGCTTTTATGTATTTTTTTTTTTAGTCAAAGGAGGCAAAAATATATTTTTACCGCCCACACGGGAGGAAGCAACTAGAACGCAGCCAACCGAGTGGGACGGAAAGAGGCCACGTCACCAAAACCGCTGTACGCTGTTCGAGACCACTCATCAAAAAAAAATTTCGTCATGATTTGGGGATTTTCTCGAGCACGATAAGAGGAGAGAATCAGCTTCCGCTTCCCGGACAGAGAGAATCGATTCCTTTTTTTCAGCGGCTATCTCGTTGAATTCAGAGAGAATAATAGAGCGCGAGGAGAAAGGCTCAAAGGCTAGATTCCCGATTTGGTTGAGAAAGAGAGAGAGAGAGATTGGGATGAAGATACAGTGCAACGCTTGCGAGAAGGCGGAGGCGAAGGTACTCTGCTGCGCCGATGAGGCCGCGCTGTGTTGGGAATGCGATGAGAAGGTCCATGCGGCCAACAAGCTCGCAGGGAAGCATCAGAGAGTGCCACTTATTGCGGCTTCCTCCTCTTCAACTTCCTCATACAGGGTTCCCAAATGCGATATCTGTCAGGTTTTGCTCCGATCTTCTTTTGTTTTCTTTCACCTAGCGGGATTGTTTTTACGAATATTTGATAGTAGGGTTTTCATGTTGAGAGGTTAGATCTCGGATTTATGACCCGTGGATTGGGGATATGTTTTTTTATTTTGTCTTGGTTAAGAATGAATCCTGTTTCGAGATTTATATGCATATATTATATCTCTATTTTTGGAGTTTGTCGTTCTGTCTTTAACCGGAGATGTTGACTTTGCTGGTAGTTGATTGCCATTTGCTCACCGATTTTTTTTTTTTTAATTACTGGCACTGTGCTGAGACTTGTCCATATTATATTAGTTTATTAGGGTTTTCAGAATCCCTCATTCGGAGGTTTACTGCAAATGTCCAGCAGCCTAGATCCATTGCAATAGTCAGTTGGATTAGTAAAGTGGGTTGTTCGGTAAGAATAAAGAGTGCTGTGCATGATGATTGTTGTGGTGCCTAGTTGTTTACATTCTGGTTGAACCGATAAAGTTATGTAAATAACAGGTTGAGGGTGTTTTTAGGGCCTTAGGACTTTTGGGGTTACTTCGCGAATCTTCTTAACTAGGTGAAAAAAATAGAGCCAGGAGCTCCTGACTGGGTGAAGATCTGCTGAACTGCTTACTTGAGATGAACATAACCTGAAAATGTGTTTGGAAATTTTGACGCCACTTTTTATCTGCAGTAGGTATGCTGCGGTGATATCAACCTTAACATTGTGAGGACCCTGCAACAAACCTCTTGTCTGCCAAAATATTCTGTAAGGTAGAGAGTTGAATGAGTGGAATTAAACAGAGCTTGTGTGATGTAGATATCAGAATCTATTTTAATTGTTAATTCAAGAATTATAGAAATAAAGAAGTTTTACCACTGACTTTCGTTGGACTTCCGCCGGGCCATCAACCGTCGCTCGACTGTAGCCCCTTCGACCATCATCATCTGACTACAATCCTTCCGACCACCGTCACACGTCAACTACAGTCCATTTTGACCAGCATCGTCCTTCGACAATGGTCTTTCCAACCGTTGTCGTCATCAGATTACGGTCAACTCTTACCACCATCACCCGCAGACTGCCATCACCCGCCGAATTTGGTCCTTCCGACCATCGTTGCCTGTCAACCACGATCCCTCCTACCACAGTTGCTCGCCGACTATGATCATTTCGACCTCGGTTACCCAAATACAATCCTACCGACTAAACAAACATATTAAGACTCTTTTAAAAACAACTACCATGCAACAAGCTCTATGCAATGTGTATTTGCTACTTAAAGACTTCCCCCCAATGAAATACCTCAGTTGTACTCAACCATCAGTACTAGTGGATTATTGCAAACTGGGCCAGGCCCCATAATTTCCCCTTTTTTAAGATATTTCACATAAAAATTTTAGTCTCTTATGAATGTTATACCCCTACTCTTATTTATTTGTGTGATGGATTTTCGTGTAAAGCTAAGACATTAAACTATACCTCTCTCACCGCCGTAAATTTTCCAGGACGCAACAATTACTTACTAGTGTTTATTCAAAACTGCATTACAAATAACCGATGTTAAGTCTAATAGTATAGTCCTGAAAAAAAAAAAAAAAGATGTTATTAGGCACTGAATGATGAATAGGGGGAGAAGTGTTGGAAGCTGAATATTGTACCAGGTGGACTGTAGAACCATTTGTGTTGTTAACTAACAGTTGTAAAGATAGTGTTTGTTTGGTATGGGTGTATACTTGTGAAGTTAATCAGTTTGTTTTAAATGACAGATTGTTTTCAGTTTTATTCAAGAATCGCACTTAGTGGAATTTGAGAGACAATGCTTATTAGCTTGAGGCAGCTTTTCAGTCCAAAAATATTATTGACCTTGCTTCGTTATGGCAAATCTAGTTGAGAAGCAGATGTCAGTAGTGTCCTGCATTGCCTTATGAACATAACTTGGCAGAAATTATTCATTTTATCAGTTTCAGCTTAGGTTTGAAAATTGCACTAGATCGTTGCAGAGTCCCTTTCCCTGTACTTACTCCAAGTCCATGCCTGATCCTTTTACTTTTGTCTGAATCTCACACTTCCTAAACTTACTCCATAGTCCAAACGCACTTTTTTTTTTTGTCTTTATCGTATTGGCTAAAATTAAACCACAGTTGTCCCTGATAAGTTTTGTTCAAGTCTAAGTATGAATTGACAAATGGGGTTGAGGATTGGGGCAAATTATTAGGTGCGGATACCGGACGTAGAGAATTTTTCGGTTATCTCTTTGTCTACAGTAAAAGCGCAGTCAAAGTGCAGCTGCTACAGTAACTGCGCTTTTACTATAGATAGAAAGAAATTCGGATGGTTCTCTCCATCCTGTGTCCGCACCTAATAATTTCTCGAGGACTGGAGTTTAAACGCAAGCATGACTGAAATAAACTGATAGCTACATCTTTCAAGCAGGATATTTAAAGTTCAGAATTCTCTAGCTATTAATGGTTAGCAAAAGCATCAGATCAGAACACGAAGGCATATATTGAATATTATAATGGAAATCATAATGATGCGTATCTATCTGGACAGGCATAACCTGTACTTGGATTGTGCAGTTTTCAGCACATGCAAAGCTACTCGTAACGTTCTCATGAGCTAAAGATAATGAGCAAAAAACTTCAATGGCAATATCTTTCCACCATTTTTGTCAATCCAAGAGCATTAACTGTAATTTTGAATTGATAATCTTGCTTTGTTTATGTAAAATATGTAAGTTTTTATTTAAATTTTAGTCATATTTATCATTTCCTCGAAGCTGACTAAATACTTTTGTTTGGTTGTGATATTTCTACCATCACAGTTAACATTCTCTTTTATCTACTTAGGAAGCTTCTGCCTATTTCTTCTGCCTGGAAGACCGAGCAATTCTTTGTAGAAACTGTGATGTTTCCGTTCACACGGCAAATCCTCATGTTTCAATCCACCAGAGGTTCCTGCTTACAGGTGTTCAGGTAGGCCTCGAATCCACTGGATCAGCTCCATCAGTCTCAAAGGAACAATCAAGCTCTGCTAAAGGACTTACCGAGCGATCTCCTAAGCGCCCCAAGTCAAGTCCACAAGCCATGTCATATTCTGGAGAGATTAATGAAGTTTATGAAGATGGAAGAATGGAACCTCTCGGGACATTTTTTGGAGGAGCTCCAATGGCTGCAAGTATAACTGAATGGCCACTCGATGAGTTCTTCAGATTCACAGATTTCAACCAGAACTATGACTTCACAGATAATGGTTCTTCTAAGGTTAAAAATCTTGTTTTCCTTAAAAGGGCTGTTTGGTAGCATCCTCTAAATCCGGATTTTGAAAATCCTAAAAATTGTTTGGTAACATTCATGATAAATCCTCTTAAATCTCATGTGAATGTTTGGCTATAAAGCAGGATTTACCCAGCGTACTCTTCCTCTAGCGTCATGGATTTCGTAAATCCGGCAAAATATAGTATTTCGGAAATCCATGATTTAGAGCGAATCAGCGAAATTTTCTGTCTATAGTGGATTTCGTTTGCATGCTAGATTTCGCTCAAATCCTCCCTAAATCCGGCTATCAAACAGCCCCTAAGAGAATTTAAAAGTTAAAACATCTCTATATGCCATGAACACAAAACTTTTCTTACTGATTTGCATTCCTTGGCAGGCTGACAGTGGTAAGCTTGGAAGTTCAGACGGGTCGCCATTAAACCTATCACCTGATGAAGATAGGGAGGCCGAAGAGTGTTTGGTTCAGGTGCCAGAAATCCCATCTCCGCCAACTTCGTCGGGGCTCAACTGGCCGAGAAACTCTCACTATCTTGCGTCAGAGAACGCGGCTTTTGTTCCCGACATTTCCACTCTGCAGAATCCCTACCAAGCTCGAACAAGATTTCCAAAGCGCAGACGGTCGTGGCATGGCTGATCTTGCCATCACTGTGCGAGAAGATAGGAGGGACTAAAGATGTTGTTCATACAGCTAACTGAAGTTAGAGAGAGGTAAAGTTGAAGTCTAAAGGAGTGAGTTAAGATTGTTGTTTTTTTGTTTTGATTTGCCTTAACAGTAACCTATCTTTTGGTGCTTTGATCCGAATTTCTTTCTGTCTATAGTAAAAGGGTAATCAAAGTGCAGTTGAAAGCGCAGTTAAAACGTAGCTACTACAATAACTGCAGTTTGATTGCGCTTTTACAATAGACTGAAAAATTCAGATGATTCTCTCTGTCCGATTCATAAATTTGGAAGTCAACTGAGCTTGGAAAACTTCTTGAGTAGATGAAAGGAATTTTGTCACTCTTCTTTCCTTAGCCCATAGAAAGCAGTATTTTATATAGGATTTTCCTTACATTATTAAATCAAAAAATCCTGAAAAAAAAAAAAAATCTTTATATATATATATATATATAACAAATCATTGAGCATAATTGTATGTATGATTATTTGGCAATTTATTAATAATTTTGCATGTTTTGGATGATTTTAATTGATGAAATATATAGATAAAATTATCTTTAAAAAGTATTTATGCGCTCCACCAATACTTTTTAGATTTTTTTTTTTAATTTTGTGAATGATTAAGTGAATACAACAAATAATAAAGCTAATTAGTTGTATTTTAAATTAAAAGGAGTATCTAAATTTTTAAATTTATATTAATATAATTCATATGTATTAATATAATGACTATGAAGCTCGTTTAGACGCAAAAACAGTGTTTTTATATAATTTTTTATTATTTTTAAATTGTAAATTATAATCAATGATGTTGAGCTTGAATTTAAAATTTATATAAAAAAAAAAGAAAAAAATCCTCTTTCAAGTAGTGAGCCAAGCAAGCTCACTGAGTCTACTCAGTTCTAACTCAACTCTCTAACTAATACATTAGTTCAATTTATAGTAATGAGTTCATGTTCAAGCTTAAATTTGAGCTCATATATTAGATGAGCTTGAGCTAGACCAAGCTTTGGCGATTTAGCAAATTGACATTTATGTTAACATAATTAATTATTTTTATTCAAATTCAAAATTAGAAGTTGAGTTGGAACAAGCTTAGCTTGAGCTCAATCATTCGAGTTGAGCTTTCTTATGGAGCTCTCTTATCCAACCTGAGCATTTTAGTCGAGCTCAAGCCTCATATTTTTCACTCTAGTCAAGCTCAAGCTCTTAAATTAAACAAGCTACACTTCATTAAATAAGAATTCGACTAAGAATTCAACGGACTGTTTACACATCTGGCTCCAATCAACTCAAAAAATTTATCCAAATCAATTATTTATTTATTCAAGTTGAATTTCAATAGAGCCAAAATCAAAATCTATAATTTTAAATGGCGAACTCCGTTCATTATTACCAAAGTCAAAATCAAAATACATGAACTTCCAATAAATATGTTACATTTACAGGTGAAATGAGGAGAATTAAAATGTAATTTAGCCAACATTTTTTTTTTTTTTGCAGGAAACCATAAGGGGCTGTTTGATATCAAATTTGGCATCAGATTTTAGCAGGATTTAACCTAAATCCAGCCAAACAGTTTTCTGTGCGCCCGTAAATCCCGTGACGACGTAAATTGTTGTAAATCCGTGTAAATCGGGGTAAATCCAAATTCCATTCTTGAACGGATTTAATGGGATTTACAGTTGCGTGAGTTGTCTCCCGCGGCGCCCGTGTCGCGAAGTTCTTGCGAAGTCTTCATGTAGATGGACGACGCAGTTGCTTCACCCTCATCCCCAGCCCTAGCCGCTCCGATCCTTGCTCAGCCCGTGTGCTCCTTCACCTGGTACGCATCTTCGAAAACATTCTCGTCGGCTACCTCTTAATGGCATAGGTATCCCTTCACCCTGACTTCTGAAATTTCCTGCTTATTTTTCCTTTCCTGTGATCGACACTACCCAATCGACCTCTACTCCTTGCGTAAAATAGCAATAGTAACTAAGCCGAGAGATATCATGTAGTAGTCTATCTACATAAATATTAGGCTATTATGATGTCATGCACTCTTTATGCTTCTACTAGTTTCTATTGTATGATGTCATGTTGAATTTATTATGTGTCATAGAGTTATCTTGAATTTATCATCAGTGTATTATATAATTTAATATTATTCCTTCATATTTAAATCTCCAACTCTTTTAAATCCCGGCATATGTTGCCAAGCAGATTCTCATGGTTTTATCGGATTTAATATTTGTCATACCAAATAATTTTATAATTTAACAGCCTCAAGATTTACTAAATCCCAATAAATTTAAATCAAAGAGCCCGTAAAGGCGTGAAAAAGAGAAATAGAGGAGAAGGCAATGATGCATCGTACATTTCATAATTTTCTAAGGTTTTAACAAATCTCTCGTCTTAATACATTAGATCAAGAAATTAAACATCTTAATTATATAAAATTCCTTTTAAACATCCTTATTCTGTTTGACTGATCAAAAGATTTTCAAATCAAACATCAAAAGCATGGAGTTCTCAACTAGGGTTCAGTAGCAATACCAGTAGTAGAATTCCAATGCTCCTCCAAGCAGAGCTAAGCAAAATCCTTCTTCGTCAGGTCGCAGAGCTCAACCATCTCCCACGATTCGGTCGTCTTGTCAAGCGTATCGGTCTTGCAGAGAGCCAGCGATGAGACTTCGAAGGTAAGTCCGCAGACACTTTCATCAATCTCCTCCGCTCGCTTCCGCGCCCTCTCCTTTTCCTCGTCGCTCAAATCCCCATAGATAAGGCTCACATGAGGCATATAAGCTGAAATCATCAAGTAAATAAAATAGAATTACGGCGTCTAATTAATATTCTCTTGATGGCAGTACTTACGAGTTGATCTCTTGTAACCTAAATGGCCACAGCAGTGAGAGCTGGTTTCCACCACCTAAAAGATCGAAACCCAAATTCATGTTAGGGCTCTGATGGGAATGGTGAAAGTATAAAAGAGAAGGTATAAGAGAGTATGCGTGCCTCAGGGGATGGATGGATGAGGAGATAGACGCACTGATAGAAGAAGGTTCCGTATGCGACGCCGGCGATACGAGCGGTGTAGGGTTTGAGGGTAGCGATGGCGGAATGGAAGCGAGCGATGGCCTCGTCGCGCCGTAGGCGGAGGTCGCCGACGACGGTGATGTGCGGATCGAAGGCTGGGCCGCCGAACTCGGATCGGAGAGAGGACATTAGAGATTTGAGGCGGTCCTTGATGTCCGACGGTGGGAGTGCCCATACGGAGTAGGAATCTTCAGGCTTATCGCCGCCTTCTGGATTATTTGGTTCTGCCATGGAGGAGAAGGAAGAACCGAGGAAGGGGAGAAGATTGGGATTTGGACGAGGACGGATTAATTGAGCATATGTGACAGTGGTGAGGAGGGGGAGGATATAATTTTATAAAAAAATTAAATTATTTGATTTGGTGAATTTCAAAATTAAAATTATTTATTGGTGAATTTCAAATTTATCCTCTAATTCAATTGTGATGCATTTAAAAATAATTAAATTTAATTAATTTTTTAAAATACATTGTTAATTGACTTAATTCATTATCATTATCACCGCAAGCTACTGTCAACAACTACCTCTGCAACTATCCACCGCCGCCATCATCACTCGCTTCTTAATGTTGCTACTCGCAACACACTGATCATTACTATTATTGAACTTTATGCTTTGATTCATTTTATTTCAAATGAAATAAATATAATCACATATATTTATTTTACACTAATTAAAAATATGTCAGATTCTCAAATCCGAACCCGACTCACCTAGGGTCTGAGAATCTGACGAATTTTCGGGTCGGGATCGGGTCTGAAAATCTGACCTATTTTTTAAAACATGTCAGGTTTGTCAAGTTCGACCCGAACTCGACCCGCAACCCGTTTTTGACACCCCTAATGCTAAGCTTACATAAATTTTTTTAGCTCATTTACTAAACAAACCTACCCAAACAACATTTGAGCACATTCAAACTTATTTTACACCCATGCATGAGATCACCATCCTAAAGAAAATACATAACAGATAGAAGTAACTGTGAAAATTCCATGCATAAAAAGTCTTTCGGACTTAAAAATAAGGCTGAAAACTGATGAGATCTACGTGCAGAAAGATAGATTAAGACATTGACCTCAACAAGTTCATTTTTTTATATTATTTTATTTTATAACTGTTTTAATTTTAGATATTTTGGACATACATATGTCTATTGAATTGATTTCCTAATAATATGGAATTCCAGCAATAGTTTTCTACCTATCTACAGTCTATTTGGAACAACTACATTATTTTATAAAGTTGATTGTGAAGTTATTATGAGAAAACAACTTATCTATTATACAACAATAATAAGCCTTTATCCCACTATATGGGGTCGGCTATATGAATCTTTTTTCTCTATTGTGTCTGATTAAGGGCCAAATTCTCGTCTAAATCTAATAAAGAAAAGGTCGTTTCTAATATTTTCTAACCAAGTCTTTTTAGGCATACCTCTATCTTTTTAAACATAATTCAAATCTAATATATCTACTTTTCTTAACTGGGTCATCGAAAGGCTGCCATTTTATGTGATCAAACCATCTAAGATGACTCTCTCTAATCTTACCTTCCACTGGAGCTACTCCAACCTTTTCACATATATGCTCATTTCGTATCCTGTCTTTAAGAGTATAGCCATTCATCCACCTGTGCATCCTCATCAAAAAAATGTTCAATCAAAAAAATTTCTCAAAGTGAGAAAGTAACAAAAAAGCAATATAAAAATAAAATTATGATTATTATCTAAAAAATAAAGCAACGAAAAAATTATCACAAACAAACTCCAACGACTTCGATGTGGCTTATGAGTATGAAACTCAGTTCAACCTATCCATTGCAGTCTAGTCGTTTCTTCCCTGTGCCTCATTACAAGTAATTCATTCAACTTCTAATCAATAAAAATTCATATTTCTTCGGTCAATCTTCTTCTGCACGATTATTGGACAAAAAATTCCTTCCATATATATATTTTTTGAAAAACTGTAGTTGAAAAGGTTTTGATTTCTATATGAAAGACGTACACAGACCACAGTTGAGGCTTTTATTTCATTCACAGAAGTTGCTTTTTACTGTTTTTTGGTCTTAACGTTAATTCAAAAGAACAAAAGTGCCATAAATAAATCTAAGTTTTAAAACTAGAGAATGGGATAGCTTTTATTATTATTTTTAAAAAATAATTTTTTAGTACAAAAAATTTTAGTTCAAATAATTTTGTACTAAAAAATTATTCAAAAACAGTAAAAAAATTATCCCGAATGAAATCAAAATCAAGAAGTTAAAAAACATAATAACAGATTGTCAGCTTTACAATAATTTTTCAATGCCATAATCTGGCTCAAAACTATAAGCATACAGCTACCGAAGTTTTTAATTTTCCACTTAGCTATTTAGGCCTTTTCTAGTCGAATGTCAAACATGTGTATAAGGTCGTTTGGTCGCTCCAACAGATCGCCAAACTTTCCGCAAGCGAACAGTGCGATGCCAACAGTTCACCCGATATATGTTTCTTTTTTTATAAATATAAATATATGATTAAAAATATATAAAATAAAGTATGTGAAAGAATACACTAGGAATATTCTTTTTTTTTTTTAATGTTAGAAAATGAAATTCAATTGAAGACGAGTTTATGTATTTTGATGTATTACTGTATTTTGGAGCGAAAATTGAGTTTTTCGGTTGGAGAAAACTATTTAGGTCATCTAATGTCCTCTCTACCATGGTTCACATAAGCAAACAAAAGATGTCATTCATCTTAAAGGAGAAAAGAAATACCAGGATACAATATTGATAGCAGGAGCAAAAACAATAACAAGCATGCAAAACATCAAAAGCATCATGTCAAATATTATAAATCTCTCAAAAAATTTGTCACAAAGAACTCTTATAAACACAAATTATGTGTGTCAAAGACATTAAGAATTGAAAATACCTTGAACTGTCATCGAAAGCCAACGCCCTGCTTGTAACTTCGGATTGGATTGAAGGAATCAGATGTCCTCCACCCTCACCAAAAGCCGGCTGCTGAAAACTCAAAAGTGCATTGTTTGAAGACGCCCACTTTCCTGTAGAGGTATAAATAAACAACCCCTATTATACGTGTATATGAATCTAAACCCATCAAATCAAAAGAGGAACCACTTCGGTCAAAGATATCAGGCATAACACCATTTACTGGTGACAACAGGCTATATGAAATATGAAATAAAAGTCTCGATGCCATGTCCTCCTTCCCATAGTTGACAGGGGATATTGAACAGTGTCCAGTGGCGTTCGCTCGTGGATCCCGACACTTGGGTTCAGTGTAGGCGAGCTTAGGCTAGGACTTTTAAGTGTGGCATTGTTGAGCCTAATCTCGATGTTGTGTTCTAGGTGCGGTAACGATGGGGAGAGGAGATAGCAGAGTGAGAGCGAGAGACGAATAAGTAGAAGAGAGGGTGATGCTGGTGATAAGAAGAAAGATGGAGATGAGATGATTGTTAGACCGATCCCTGGATCGGTCCATACGTGACCGGCTCACATAACAAAGACGGACAAGTTCCGCGCCTCAAAAGAGCTGCACACTCCACCCCTATTGGCTGCAGGAATTAGGAAAGATTTTGGAGGGAAATTTCAAAGTATGGATTGTTAAGAGATTTCCTTTTGAATTGTATGTATTAAGTATTATGTTTTGCTAGGGTTAGGGCATCTTGAATTTGGCTGAAATTTGATATCTCTTATGTACTTTGGCTCTAGCCACCAACTAGGGATTGGGAGAGCCGGATCATCCTCTCAAATTGAAGATCCATTGTATCTTGCTTGCTTTTATTCTTCTTTCATCAAATAAAATTTATTTCGTTGTGGTTCATCTACTTTCTTCTCAAAAATTGTTTGCAAGGGGCTGATTTTCTTGGATTTCAGCAAAGATTTTCTTGGTTTATACTAGTGTTTCCTATCGAGGACAACAACAACTAGGGGAATTTTTCAGAGGTAAAGGTGGTGGCGCCTTCTCTCCGTTACTTGTCTAGGAACAAGGGTCATGAAGATCTGTGTATTGCTTGCTCCAAGAAATTGAGTGCGGTAGTGTTTCTCTTCTCCTTTGGACCATTCAAATACCATGCAAGGATATTTGGATTTTTCAATGCTATCAAAAAAGTGGAACGTTATAACCCAATTTTTACCGTGCATAGCCCTTCCACGGTTAGATTCTGGAGGAGCCGAAGGTGAAGTTTTGCTAAAGCAACATCCAAATGGCTAAGAATTGCCAAAAGAATGCTTTTTTAGGTAAAAACAAGTAAAATATGGAATCCAAGCGAAGCCTGCAGAACATTGAACCAGAAAAAATTCTAAACGTTTAAAGAAAATAGTAATACGCCATCAGAGGTGATGATAATGCAATTTTTTTCATTGCAACTTGCAAAGTAAAGTGCTCAAAGCCCTTGCGCAATATCACATCATCATTTGACAAATTGGGTCAATAGAGTATAAAAAAATATACACCCAAATCACTCATTTATCATTTCAGGAGATTGCACATGCAACTCTCTGAACTATATAGAAATGTAATCCAAAACAACTTCAAGAATATCAAATAGTTTCTATAGAAAAGCTGAAGATTGTGTTTCAAAAAGCTAGTAACTAAATTATGATAAAGACTTAAATAACCAATCTTGGGATCGAATCAGCATTAATGTGTCATGCATTAATCCTAATCAGACAGCAAAGTTTACGTCGGTTAAAAATAAGATTAGAACAATAATTATTTTCCTTCATAAAGGTCATGCAAACGAAAATCGAAGAAAATTTAGCACACGCATGCATGGTGCCTAGAAGCAATATATGAGAAGAGGAGAGAGGGCATTTAATAAAATGGATGGGCTAGACAAGCTTTGAGATGGTGAAAGTTTGGAGTCCTTGGAGCCAACAGGGGCGGAACCAGCCATAATTTTCAGGGGGGAGCAAACATATAAGTAACTGTTCACATATATGTCGGGGGTCCAAGGGGGCAGCGCCCCTGCGGGGGTTTCCGGGGGCAACGCCCCCGGAACAAATTTTGATTTACTATTTCTCTTTGTATTTGGTTCATCATTCCTTAACAATAATACATCTACGCAATGTATTTAATTATATTAGGGGCAATTGCCTAAAGATCATAGTATTTAACATTTTTAGGGGGGGGCAAATTGCTTAAAGCCCTTGTAATAAATACTGAAAATATTCTAAATAAGTGCATAATAAAAAAAAATTTTTTTGAGGGGGGGCAATTGCCCCCCCTACCCAAAGAGGGGTTCCGCCCCTGGGAGCCAAAGAATACACAACTCTTCACATAGATTTTTTTTTTAGTACAGTTCAAAGGCTTAAATTGGAAAAACTTTGCCCTAGCACCGAATTAGGATTAATTATTGTGTGTGGACGCCGAACGCCTTTCAGAGATCAACCAGAATGCACCACGTCACCCTTGTGCTTGGTACCGTGACTCGGTACTGCTCGGTACCACTTACGTGACACTTTTTGGTTGGTCTCCGGACGACGTTTTCCATCCGGCCTCCGCACAGAATAATTTCTCATCAAAAGGTTACAGAGGCTGCCTAGATTCATCAGAGCAACTGAGTTGAGCTAACATGGTAATCTCTTGCTATATATACAGAAAACGGATTCTATGAGAAATATAATAGTTAAAAAAAAAGAGCATGTTATTTATGTTACATTCAATATCAGTAGAGACGAATAAATGGAAACATACATACTCCGAGGCAAACTTCAACGAACTAAGCAGGGAAGAATAACTGCGTAATTGTTGAACAGAACATCAGGATAATTGAAGTTAAAAAAATTCTTTAATTGAGAACAACTGCAACTCTGTTTCAGCCAAATTCTAATAAATAACTGCTCCATGCCTGCATAAGCTTATATTTAAAAAATTACAAATAACTTCAAAAATCATAAAATCAACTAGCTTTGATTTTAACGCCTCAGATAATTACTCAATGAAAAATCAACATGCATGCTTTACAAATTGAACAGCCAAGTTCCAAGATTATGAAGAAACAAATAAGTAAACTATTTCATATAT